TCTTATATGTACAGTTTTATTTAATAGACATAGTCTATATTAAAAAAAACACTCATTTTTTTCATCTATGAGGAAGGGAAAAGCAGGACTGTGTATTTTAGTGGTTCTGAAAATCCATGGAAGATGTTTTTTTCTCTGCAGTGCTCTTTATTATTGTCTTTTTTCTCTTGTAAGATCTTGATACTTGTTTCAAATGCCTCACCCTTATCAAAATATTTAGGGGTTGCATTGTTACTTACCAGTTTGGTCTGCAGTTGCTGTGTCACTCCTTATATTCACACATAACAGCATATTTCTCATTAAAAGGCAGGACTAGTTGCTGTTCTTTCTGCCAAACCGCCTCAGTTTTAAAACAGAAATCACTGCAGTAATTTTCTGTTTTCCTGTATTTATACTTCTATATAAGTAGTAGTGTGTTTCTAATGGGATTTAATGATCTACTCTAACTGGAAGTGCTTGAAAGTATTTTTCATAGTGGGAAAACCACACACACAAAGCATGATAAACAGGAAGCAATTCTTTGAATAGTTTTGAATAGGACCGTGAATTGTGTGCAATAGAAGGGAAAACCAGATGTGCTACTAGCTTTGTATGAATTGGAGAACTGTACCCTTCCTACACATGTGATGGATGAATGAAGTGGCTTATTTAGGCATTGTAATTTTGTTCTCTTGAGTGCTACTCAAGTAGCATAGTATTTCTGTTTAATTATTTTGATTGTTTATGGAGTATGAGAGTGCCTGTAGTGTCTGTGTAGCTTAAGTTTGCATTTCCCATATTTCCCCTTTCTGCACATTTTATTCAGTGATTCATCTTTTTTTTTTTTTTTTTTTTTTGAAGGGTGCTTATCGATCTGACCTGTAAGTTAACAAAGATTCATTTCAGAATAGCACAGAGATCCATTTATAAATGAAGATGGTACTTATATAGAAAGCTTTTTAAAGTACAGGAAGATTGCCAATACAGAAAAATGTATTAGAAATGCGCAAGTGTGTTATGATAAATATAGCACTCAGAGGTGGGGTTAAAGGCTGAGATATAACTGTGTGCATTCAGATTTATTTACTGCACGGAAATGAATCCCAAATGGCTATTTTTGCTTCACTCACTGTACTCCCACCAAGGCAGCCTTATAGACATCTGCTAAGGTTTTTGATTATTATTTGGTTAAGATTTGGAGATTGAGGTGAGAAAAATCCAGCTGTCACCTAGAAATGACCTCAAGGGGGTTTCACAGATTTGTCCAAAATGTCTTTCACAGATTTATACAGGTTTAGATATATTCCTCACTTCAGAGCCCTTCAGACCATGGCTACTCACATTTTCTAAAAAATAATAGACTGATGTATGTGGTACACTGTTTAACCTTCACCCAGCCATGCTTTTTCCAAAATCTGAAGGATAAAGACCAAGTGAGGGACAGATGCCTACCAGGTTGTTCTTAAATAGGCATTGAAAGATGCATCAATTAATGCACTGCTAGCAATTCCTGATGGTAAGTAGTCCCTCATGTTTGTAGTCACCAGGCTCACTCTCAGTACATTAATAACAGCTGTGAGATTTTGGGATATACCAGTGCAATTGATTTCCCAGTGGGATTCTTATCTAAACAAGATCAAGTCTTTATATCTTTATTTAGCCAGAGCACTGTTGTAGTGCATCTGAGAATTATCTGTGCCTTGCTGCTTCTCGCTTAAGGGAAGGAGGAAAAAGTGTACAGACCAGACAGTGCTTCCAACCGTGCTGTAGTTGTGCCACAGTTACGTGACAGTGTAATAATAGCATGAAGCAGAAACATTTAGGTTCTCTTCTCTTTTTGATTTAAGTAAATTCATGCTGATAAAATTCTAATGAAAAGGTATCAGAGCACAAAGGAGTGAGTGACTTATTATGTAGGATTTCTGTGATTCATTGTAATGGTGGATTTTCAATTTTTAAAAGTGGTTACTTTCCTAATTGGTGAACAAAAAGGGCCAATTTATCCCCTTGCTGTGAGAAACATTTTTCTTTTATATTATTCTCTAATAATATATGATAAGAACTCTAATTCAGCCCAACACATTATGTAAATGGAACCTATGAAACACGTTTTAAAACATACATCAGACTTACATTACTAGACTTACATTAGATTGAGCAAGGGCTCTTGTTACACTGTATGGCAATTTTTTTTTACTTTTATAATATTCCTTTCTAAAATAAATTGTGTTTGGTTCAAGTAAGGCTTCTATTAATAAGTCTTGAGGCTATCCTAAGTGAATAGTTACTAGCTTTGCTCAAGTATTATGAACATAATCTCTACATCTTAGTATTTACTGATCTCAAGACTTCTATATCTGTTTTAAACTAGACGTGCTTTCTCTTGGTACAAAATCTTCAAATGTTGTAGCGCAGTGACTGTTCTAATGCCAAACTAATTTGGATAAATCTACACAGCATGCAGATTTCCGAAAGCCTTATGACACAGATACCAAAGGCTGCAAAATTAACAGTCTTAGTTGTGCAAGCGAAGTTTTATGTTTTAGGATACATGCAGCACTCCGACTTGTATATAATTTCTATGCATTGTTTGTAAATCCGGTAGTGTTAAAAGATAGCACATTTAAACACTGAAGTTCTCCCTTAGGAGCTGATCTCCTTGTGGAGAGTATTGTTTGGTTTCAAACAATTGCAATTCATTAAGAAGCAAAATTGATATCACAAATTAATTATGTTAATTATGTTAGTAACTGATGGTAGTGGCTTATTTGCATTATGGAGTCCTATTAGTCTTGGTTTCCTATAAGGTGTTTTTATATTTTCACCTAGACATGTTCATTTCTGACCTGTTTTTCTTTTTTATTATTTATTTTTTTAATGATACCTAACTGTTGGTGAATTGCTCCTCACATGAAAATTGTCTTCTGTCCTAAAAGAAAGGTCAGAGAGTAGCAACCTTAGATCCAGGGAGCTTCACATAAGTCTAAACAGGTACCGCAGTAATAAAAATGAGAAATTAACCCTGAAAGAAAGAGAGTTTTTACAGCTGTAGGCAACTTGGACTGGTTCTGGAAGAAAGCTTTGAGGTGTTTTTCTTAAGATTACATTGACTGGTGAGCCATGGGGACTTCTGCACAGGAAGGACAAGATAACTGCTCCTCCAGTTCTCTCTTTAATGATTTTGGGACCATTCAGAGCTAAAATTATACAGATCAGCTTCTCCTTTTGCCTTACAGCTGTCTTTTTAAAATTGTTATTTGTTACATTCAAAACAGCAAGTGGGCAACTAATAAGGATTAGTAATGGGTAGGTTTTATTTAATTCCACTTTTAAGCTGCTTTATTCAACAAAATCCTTAGAACACAGATTATATTTTTAGAGACACCAACACACACTGCCATGAATTCTATACTATGTTCAAAGCATATTTTCATGGATGATTAAATGTTTATATACAGTATCTAAAATTATTATTGATTATGCTTTCCCGTTGTATTCCCACATTGAGGGCTTGATGATTTCCTGTTTCAGTGGGTTTCCAAAGCATCGTCTAGCAGGATTTACAGAAGTTATTACTGTTAATTCTTATGATTTTATCGTAAATTCTTCTGTATTTGATGCATTTTAATGCCTGCCTCATGGACTAAAGTGAATATGTGAGAAATCCTTACATTTCTGAGAAAACTTTAACATTTAACCTATTTTTCTCCATTTTTGCCCAGAGGCAAATAAAAGTAGTATAATATTTCTTCATTTATGTGGGAATTTCACTGTTCTTTTCATCTTAATGCATCTTTTTCTGTTTTTTGATTATTGATGCTTGAAGTTGATAATATTTTTCAAGGAAGAGATAAGCAAGCAGTATTGTACAATAGTTACAGAACACATGACTTTATCAGAGGGGTCATAGTCATTACTTTGGGATTGACAGTTAAAGTGTGTCTATCAGAAGTTAACTGAGCTTAACTTATAGCAAACTGTGCCTGCAGTGATGAAGTGTTTCATGTGCATGTGATAATGCCATCTTGCTCATTTTTTTTTCTTCCATCTTCCATGGAAATGGTTCTGAAAAAATCTTTAGAGAGCTGCAGGTGCCCCTCCTTGCTGTGGCCCCTGCTGGGGTGTTGTAGAGTACACTCAAGCTCACGAGTCAAAATGTTTGTCCTATTCCCATGTATTCCTCCTCTGCAGTCCCACAAGCAGTATCCTGCCAAGCTTGAGATATGCATATTTAGGTATATCTGCGTCGGTGTCTGCATGTGTGGTGGGTGTTGGAGCTCCTATCGTTGTCAGTGGATTTTTCATCCATACGGACCACGCGACCAAGCAGTTGATTCAGCTTACCAGCTTACTTCAGCAGACAGCTGGAGACGGATTGACTCCAGGCACCACTGAGTGTAGTGGGAATTTCTCACTTAGCCTGAAGATAGTTGCTTGTATGTGGCACTGAAGTTTAAAAGCCTTGTTCCCAGTTGAATCATATATAGTTGAATCACATCTCCAGAAGCTGAATGATTTTGCTTATTTTCGCTGCAGGAATTATCTCCCTGTAGAGTTCCAGTCTCTGGTTTGAGAGACTGAAGGGACATGGTGGTTATCATAAAATTCTGTATGCCTTCCTTAGCTGGTCATATTTCTCTTGTAACAATTTCTACTTAATTTTACCTTCCAAAATTCGACATTTTACCATATACGATCTTACCTCCCCCTCATACAAAGATTTTCTCTTTCTAAGGCATTTTCCTTGCTTCAGATTCCAGTTTTTGGTGAAGCTGCAAGTTTCAATAAAAATTTCTCCTATTCCACATGTCTCCTTCATGGTAGAAACAGGCTCTTTATAAAAATGTTGTAACATGCCAGGCTAAATTCTGGATTTATGTCCTTGTTTGTCTTGTGTACCACTAATGAAAAATTATATTATATATTAGAAGTTTATTATGAAGCTTTTTGTGGATTTTTGATCCAGATTGTTTATGTTTTAGAGTACTTGTTTATCATTTTCATGGTTCTGTTTTTAACAGGAATCCTGTGCTTGTGTTCCAGTGCATGCATCGCCACGTAATTTGCCTAGATTGTTTCCATTTATACTGTGTGACAATGTTGAATGATCGTCAGTTCATCTATGACCCAGATCTTGGCTACTCTCTCCCGTGTGTAGGTAAGTTATAGTGGATTTTCTCTCTTTTTTTTTTTTTAAGTACTTTTTATTTCATTTTTTATTTCATATGATTTTGAGTATACCTACAGAAATTATGTTTAGGAGTTGTTTCATGTCATGGAGAAAGTATTTGAATATTGAAGTGGTTCTTGCTGGGCACATGAACTGGAGGATTAAATGGATTCCTTTTTTTGTGTGTCAGGATTTTATAATCATGAAGTGCTAATTGAGGTTCAGCATTACTCTTCTAGTTAAAAATTTTTAAAAAATCCGTTTCCTCCACGTTTCCACTTTTGAATGAAATAAGGTGTTAACTTTCTTTGCCTGTCTTCAAGAGCTGATTAAAAAATAATAATAATAATAAAGGACTGTAGTAGGAATTTCAAGTAGCCTTCCTGTTGGTGAAGTTATTGCTACTAATTGTTGCTGCATTGAATGAAATGTAGATCACCCTGAGAAAGTGGTAGGTTATCTGTTTTACCTGCATAGGAAACAAAAGTTGACATGAGTAAGAGACAAAGGCACTAAGTCTGGAAAATGTGTTTGGAGAATTGATTCCATTATACTGACTTGTGAACTGAAAAATTCTCAAAAATTTTGCTTTTAAAATATATTTTTCCTGTTGTTGTATTTTAATGTGCATATTTATTTGAAATAAGTGCTGTGTAGTGGTATGAGAATCATTTTCCACTAATAAAGCTGTGTAGAGGCTGGCTTCACCTGGTTGCTTGAAAGTTGACAAGAAAGATTCAAACTACTACTTCAAAGAAAAATGGTCAGCATTTCTTAAGAGTAGGATTTGTCACAGACAAGATATGCCTTAAGGACACTGGCAGTGTAGTAGTAAGAACCATTAAAACTATTTGTTATTAATTACTTTGGATGCAATCTTGTGATGGGCGTCGAATCACATTTCACTAGAATTACTTTTATATGCTGTTCACCTGACCGGTCTCACTGTATTTTTCTCCTCCCTCGTATGCACCGTGCTCTGCTACTGTAGTTACATATAAAATTATTAATGTTGTATAAAGAAGAACATCAAGGGAACTTGCATTCTTTCCTTCACCATCACCGTAATATCGTGTAGTTAGTCTGTACTCTTAACGTCTTGTGCCTACTTCTCCAAAACTTAGTTTTCTACACAGTTAACTAGCTACCTCATTGCTTTAGTTGAGTTGAATCCATCCTTTTTCTCCCATAACTCATCAGTTCTCTGTTCGTTAGTTCTCCTTAGATTAATCAGTCCTCTCAGTCGTGCAGCCCACAGCTCATCTTTTTCCTCTCCTGTAGGCTTCTTTGCAACCACAGGTAGTGCCATCTCCTTCAATTTGCACCTGTTACTTAAAATTAATGATCCTTCCCACCTCTTCTGTTTGTAATCCATTTTTTAGTCATATTGCGTAATAATTATAGTAGGATTTTTGCATAAATCATTCAACTCCAGTCATTCGATTTGATTGTTTCATATGTCCTTTTTCTTAGAGTGAAGACAAATTAGCAGAGACTTTTACCTTTTCCCCCCTTAGAGTGTTGAAATTGGGAACTATAGGAAATAAGCAGTAGAGACAAGGTATGGGTTGAGTTGAGTGAAAAATGCAAAAAGAGAGTTGAAATGCTCAGGGATGTTATTTCAGTATTTGTGGGATGAGGAAGGCATGGAATTGGTCTGTGAAAGGGAGATCCTAAAGAATGTACAGACTACTTCTGCTGTTTGAATGAGATAGGGCTCAGCTGTATATCTAGTCTCAGATTTCTTATGCTTTGTATTAAAACAGCTGAAAATAGAAATACTGAAGTACTGCTATTCTTTGTGTTTCTGAACTTCTCAAGTCAAAACGCTGTTTTCCAAATACAATAAAGTAGTAGTACTAGTTCTAGTAGTAGCAGCTGTGATAGTAGAAATAAGAACAACAGGAGTGCCATACATTTTGTCTCTTTTCACCATCTGTAAAAATGTTTCTTTGAAAACTGCCTGCTCATGTATTTTGACCCTGCCCTGGGTCAATCAAGTGCATATCTTAGACGTGTTTGAGTGTAGCGCAGTACGAAAATTGAGTCAGGGACAAATTGCGATACTGAAGGAAAAGCAGTGTAGTTGTGTCAGTACAGCATGTTGGACAAGATTTTTGACATTGCTGATGTGGACTGACAAAGCAAATACTACTTCATGACTTATCCTAGTGCTTCTGCATAATGTTTTTGATGCTGTCTAGGTGTGCCTCCTTGCTCACAGCCAGCCTGATGATCTGAAAGAAGTATTGATGTTATATAGTGCTGACATGCTTTGTGTTGCAAAGGTTCTCAGTCAGTCACAATCTCTGAGCATTCCACAGCTTCAAATTATACTTCATCTAAGCCAAAAATTGATTGTTACCTCAGTCAGTTCTCTTTGATGTATTATCTGTTCTGTATTTAACAAAAACATTTCTAAGCATTATCTTTTCGACTGAATGGCAGGCCAAAGAGTCTGATCAGTGCTGTTATAACTATACTGCTGTGTTTCTGCAGCCACCTTTAACCTGACTTTCTGGTATGCAAGATACTTAGTTGTTTCTAGAATTAGGTTGTATTTGAGTTAAGAACTGATGACTAAGTTATCTTTCGTCATTCAAGAAAAACTTAAGGCTGTACTGTATCACACCTGTGAAGAACAATGTCTGTGTTGGCAATCCTTTTGCTTTTAACTGTTCGTTATAAAGAAGTTTAGCCTCCTTCCTAGCTCTGCATTCAGCAGCTTTCATCGGCAATGAATTCAATTAAGAAACATTCAGTACAGTATCATGTGATTTTCTTTTCTACTTATTGTAGCACTCCTACTGAATAGTGGAAGATTGCATTTTTGCGATCTAGAGTTCACAATCTTCATTTTTGCAACTGCAATTTGCAGTTTATATTTACATGTGCGGAAGATAAAGCAGTGTTTGACACAGCTTGTTCTAATTACCTCAGTGAAGCCTAAAATTATTTCCTCTTGACAGGAATGAATACCATGGGGCATGCCAAGAAATGACTTTTTTTCTAGCAGTGGCAGTGTTGATTTAATACGTGTTACTTCTAACTGTGCTTAACTCAAAGCAAAAAATATTTTTATCTGAGCTTTATTAAAAGGTTAGATGTTGGTTTGAGCCTGCATGTAAAAGGAATGCAAAACAAAGTCATATTTACTATAGCAAAGTTTATGTTGCAATAGGTGACCAGGTTGCATAGACAGATCAAAACCTCTGTCTATATTAATTCATGTATTTTATATATTACAAGCTAGTGGTGGAGTGGCATTATAATGTCTTGAGCAGGAAATACTGGTGTTCTAAATTTATGCTTTGTAAAAATGATTTCAGTTTTAAAATAAATCAATTCTTGTATGAAATCTAGCCCATTTCTTCAAGGCATATAGAACTGTAGAGGAGGTTTTGTAATTAAGTCTAAATCTTTCGCACTTCCAATTAGTTGTGTTTATTCTAGTGTTTTTGAAATAGAGAGATAACATAATGAACATAGCCTGCAGTTTCCATTAACATTTGACTCACTGTTCTGATTTTTATCAAGGGAATGTATTATCAGAGTGAGATTTTTATATCTTCTGTTGGATCAATCTGGAGTCAAAAATGCCGCACACACAACAGAATAAAAATAAACAGCATCAGCAACAGTGGAGGGTCACTGTGACAGACAAGATCAGTGTTATCACATATGTATGGTAACTTGAACTGGTAAGGATCTAGGGATTTCAGATAAATACCGCTTCTCAAGTAGGTTTAATATCTTGCTTCCTGGCACATATATGCCAGAAGGTGCATTTTGTCATTGTGTTCATTTATTTTGTCTGATTGCATCCTTCCTTTTCTTTGTTTTCTCTTATGCAGCTTAATTAAGTAGAAGGTAGTATGTGTTCAGAGGAAGGCTATCTCATCTGATGAGCTATGATTTATCAACTTGATAATACCATATTTGTATGTCATTCCTATACAAAACGTGTCATTGCTGAGATTTTTGGGAAGAACAAAATTAATTCCTTAGTGCTTAGCTGCTAATCTAGTGCCAGGCAGCACTCCTCCAGCTGAGAACAGCCAGCATGGAGGGTTGCAGCTCTGAGCACAGTAGCTCTGGTGCATTGATAGGATTAGCTGCTCAGAAAACTGTAGCAGCAACCCCATGGTTCAAACCCACTGTATCTGCTCAGAGAAAGGACTTATGGATACAAGCTGGCTGGTATTTCATTGGTCATTAAAATAAAAAAGTAAACGTTACAGATAATACTCTCTCTGCCCTTGTTAAATGGCAACAGAAATCTATCCCATCTCTCTGTGTGGTGTCTTGTATTAATGAGGCTTCATGCATAGAAATTTCCATGAGTGGTGACCTCCAAGTATCTTTGAAATAATTAATAAGGTGCTTAGAGGGACAGATTTGCATATGCATGAAAGATCATTTGTGGTTATTTAGTTACTGTGCAGGGCAAAGAGTCTCAAACCATTACCTCAAAGCAGGAATTGTATACAAGCATACAATGTGTTACCATATTTAAATGTATAATTCTTATGATCACCATTTCAATTTTAAAATAGCATTACGGCATTATGGGTCTTGGTCCTCATGGATCTTTGGCAGAAGAAAAGTTGGTGAGGCCAAGGAAAGGCAAGGTTTAACACTGCTGTAGGCACTTTGCACAAATGTCTCCCTTTATTTCTTATGAGTAATCATATGCATGATGTATTTTAAATGAATCTGGATAAAAGATTCAGATCTCCAGATGACTGTAAAACACTGCTGTATCTGGAAGAAATCTTGTTTTACCACATATATATAAATATATAAATGAAATTGCTATCTTCTAATAAAAATGACTAAAGCTTTAAAGTATAACAAACTGCTTAAGGAGCCATATTCCACTGAAATACAGTTGCTGGCAAATGTTTAAGGAGACATGTTTTAGGATTAATTTTTTTTATCTCCATTGAATTCTATTTGTATAGTAATAGGATGTTTTTATTCCTGTG